TTTACGCATCTTACTTATTATTAATCACCGATATAATAAATCGGGTGATTTCATTTAGTGGAAAAATCATTTCTAAATCGATTAATAAGAATAAATTTTTTTGATATTTCCCTTCGTTCTTAAGATATTTCCCAAAAAAAGTATTCATTTTCACTTAAAGAGACAAATTTAAGGATTTAAAAGAGGATATCCCAAAAACTATGATAAATATGATAAAAACTCATTCTTTATTTTCGATTTTAAATTCATTTTTCTACCCAACGAAGATTTTAAACATTGTGTAAAAGTAACTCCAACTAACTTAGAGGTGAACGAAAAAAATTAATTTTGAATAAATCGCTTTTACGCATCTTACTTATTATTAATCACCGATATAATAAATCGGGTGATTTCATTTAGTGGAAAAATCATTTCTAAATCGATTAATAAGAATAAATTTTTTTGATATTTCCCTTCGTTCTTAAGATATTTCCCAAAAAAAGTATTCATTTTCACTTAAAGAGACAAATTTAAGGATTTAAAAGAGGATATCCCAAAAACTATGATAAATATGATAAAAACTCATTCTTTATTTTCGATTTTAAATTCATTTTTCTACCCAACGAAGATTTTAAACATTGTGTAAAAGTAACTCCAACTAACTTAGAGGTGAACGAAAAAAATTAATTTTGAATAAATCGCTTTTACGCATCTTACTTATTATTAATCACCGATATAATAAATCGGGTGATTTCATTTAGTGGAAAAATCATTTCTAAATCGATTAATAAGAATAAATTTTTTTGATATTTCCCTTCGTTCTTAAGATATTTCCCAAAAAAAGTATTCATTTTCACTTAAAGAGACAAATTTAAGGATTTAAAAGAGGATATCCCAAAAACTATGATAAATATGATAAAAACTCATTCTTTATTTTCGATTTTAAATTCATTTTTCTACCCAACGAAGATTTTAAACATTGTGTAAAAGTAACTCCAACTAACTTAGAGGTGAACGAAAAAAATTAATTTTGAATAAATCGCTTTTACGCATCTTACTTATTATTAATCACCGATATAATAAATCGGGTGATTTCATTTAGTGGAAAAATCATTTCTAAATCGATTAATAAGAATAAATTTTTTTGATATTTCCCTTCGTTCTTAAGATATTTCCCAAAAAAAGTATTCATTTTCACTTAAAGAGACAAATTTAAGGATTTAAAAGAGGATATCCCAAAAACTATGATAAATATGATAAAAACTCATTCTTTATTTTCGATTTTAAATTCATTTTTCTACCCAACGAAGATTTTAAACATTGTGTAAAAGTAACTCCAACTAACTTAGAGGTGAACGAAAAAAATTAATTTTGAATAAATCGCTTTTACGCATCTTACTTATTATTAATCACCGATATAATAAATCGGGTGATTTCATTTAGTGGAAAAATCATTTCTAAATCGATTAATAAGAATAAATTTTTTTGATATTTCCCTTCGTTCTTAAGATATTTCCCAAAAAAAGTATTCATTTTCACTTAAAGAGACAAATTTAAGGATTTAAAAGAGGATATCCCAAAAACTATGATAAATATGATAAAAACTCATTCTTTATTTTCGATTTTAAATTCATTTTTCTACCCAACGAAGATTTTAAACATTGTGTAAAAGTAACTCCAACTAACTTAGAGGTGAACGAAAAAAATTAATTTTGAATAAATCGCTTTTACGCATCTTACTTATTATTAATCACCGATATAATAAATCGGGTGATTTCATTTAGTGGAAAAATCATTTCTAAATCGATTAATAAGAATAAATTTTTTTGATATTTCCCTTCGTTCTTAAGATATTTCCCAAAAAAAGTATTCATTTTCACTTAAAGAGACAAATTTAAGGATTTAAAAGAGGATATCCCAAAAACTATGATAAATATGATAAAAACTCATTCTTTATTTTCGATTTTAAATTCATTTTTCTACCCAACGAAGATTTTAAACATTGTGTAAAAGTAACTCCAACTAACTTAGAGGTGAACGAAAAAAATTAATTTTGAATAAATCGCTTTTACGCATCTTACTTATTATTAATCACCGATATAATAAATCGGGTGATTTCATTTAGTGGAAAAATCATTTCTAAATCGATTAATAAGAATAAATTTTTTTGATATTTCCCTTCGTTCTTAAGATATTTCCCAAAAAAAGTATTCATTTTCACTTAAAGAGACAAATTTAAGGATTTAAAAGAGGATATCCCAAAAACTATGATAAATATGATAAAAACTCATTCTTTATTTTCGATTTTAAATTCATTTTTCTACCCAACGAAGATTTTAAACATTGTGTAAAAGTAACTCCAACTAACTTAGAGGTGAACGAAAAAAATTAATTTTGAATAAATCGCTTTTACGCATCTTACTTATTATTAATCACCGATATAATAAATCGGGTGATTTCATTTAGTGGAAAAATCATTTCTAAATCGATTAATAAGAATAAATTTTTTTGATATTTCCCTTCGTTCTTAAGATATTTCCCAAAAAAAGTATTCATTTTCACTTAAAGAGACAAATTTAAGGATTTAAAAGAGGATATCCCAAAAACTATGATAAATATGATAAAAACTCATTCTTTATTTTCGATTTTAAATTCATTTTTCTACCCAACGAAGATTTTAAACATTGTGTAAAAGTAACTCCAACTAACTTAGAGGTGAACGAAAAAAATTAATTTTGAATAAATCGCTTTTACGCATCTTACTTATTATTAATCACCGATATAATAAATCGGGTGATTTCATTTAGTGGAAAAATCATTTCTAAATCGATTAATAAGAATAAATTTTTTTGATATTTCCCTTCGTTCTTAAGATATTTCCCAAAAAAAGTATTCATTTTCACTTAAAGAGACAAATTTAAGGATTTAAAAGAGGATATCCCAAAAACTATGATAAATATGATAAAAACTCATTCTTTATTTTCGATTTTAAATTCATTTTTCTACCCAACGAAGATTTTAAACATTGTGTAAAAGTAACTCCAACTAACTTAGAGGTGAACGAAAAAAATTAATTTTGAATAAATCGCTTTTACGCATCTTACTTATTATTAATCACCGATATAATAAATCGGGTGATTTCATTTAGTGGAAAAATCATTTCTAAATCGATTAATAAGAATAAATTTTTTTGATATTTCCCTTCGTTCTTAAGATATTTCCCAAAAAAAGTATTCATTTTCACTTAAAGAGACAAATTTAAGGATTTAAAAGAGGATATCCCAAAAACTATGATAAATATGATAAAAACTCATTCTTTATTTTCGATTTTAAATTCATTTTTCTACCCAACGAAGATTTTAAACATTGTGTAAAAGTAACTCCAACTAACTTAGAGGTGAACGAAAAAAATTAATTTTGAATAAATCGCTTTTACGCATCTTACTTATTATTAATCACCGATATAATAAATCGGGTGATTTCATTTAGTGGAAAAATCATTTCTAAATCGATTAATAAGAATAAATTTTTTTGATATTTCCCTTCGTTCTTAAGATATTTCCCAAAAAAAGTATTCATTTTCACTTAAAGAGACAAATTTAAGGATTTAAAAGAGGATATCCCAAAAACTATGATAAATATGATAAAAACTCATTCTTTATTTTCGATTTTAAATTCATTTTTCTACCCAACGAAGATTTTAAACATTGTGTAAAAGTAACTCCAACTAACTTAGAGGTGAACGAAAAAAATTAATTTTGAATAAATCGCTTTTACGCATCTTACTTATTATTAATCACCGATATAATAAATCGGGTGATTTCATTTAGTGGAAAAATCATTTCTAAATCGATTAATAAGAATAAATTTTTTTGATATTTCCCTTCGTTCTTAAGATATTTCCCAACAAAGGTATTAATTTTCACAAAAAGAGCCAAATTTAAGGATTCAAAAGGGGATATCTCAAAAACTATGATAAATAAGATGAAAACTCATTCTTTATTTTCGATTTTAAATTTATTTTTCCACCCAACGATGATTTTAAACGTTGTGTAAAAGTAACCCCAACGAACTTAGAGGTGATCAAAAAAAATTTATTTTGAATAAATCGCTTTTACGCATCTTACTTATTGTTAATAACCGATATAATAAATCGGGTGATTTCATAAGATACAATTTATCTCGTAGATAACAGGGTCGTGCGTACTACCACCTCCATTTATCTCATAGTTAAGAAATCCTTCAGATAACCAAGGAATCTAGGGATTTTTTGGTCTATTATGTTAAATTGACAGCTCTATGTGGTTGAAAGACCTACTATTAGGTATTTTCAAGGTTTATAGAACATAAGGTTACCTAATTCCCTATGCCTCTGTAGTATCGATTATTACCCCGCAAATTGACGTCACTGGTTCGATACAGTCAGAGTAAAAGATAGCCTATACGTGCCTATACTGTGGTACAGTCTATATAAAATATTTATATTCACCTCGCATCGTGTTGTGTTGTTCATAAAACCAGCTTCGTCACTGACCCACCTTGCCTCTCAGAGGAGGAGAATCTGTATTGGGTAACCTTATGTTCTATAGACCTTGAGTATTTTGACGATATTCTAACCTGTTCTAACCTTAAAATTAAAATTTGGAAATGGAGACTGAGAAAGGGCGACGAACCACCAATTTCACCAAAGATGAATGCGAACATGTTCTTGAATTTGTTATCAAACATAAAAACGTAATAGAAAACAAAAAAAAAAGTTACATGGCAAGGAAAGCAACGAGTATATCTCGTATTATTGTATGTTAAAATGTGATGGTGAACAATAATGGCACAACTAACGTGATGAACGAAGATGCCAATTGTATACTCACTCCTGCAAAATATGCTATGGATAGCAACATGTTACCTATTGCATAAAGCCGAAGAGTCAGCAACAAGCGGTTTGAAGGAGGTACAGCATTATTACGAAAATTTTGATGAATTTTACATTAAATAATAGCAATCAACAAATTACTTACGTCATGGATGGAGGTTTTATTACATCTTCTATTTAATTCAAAAGGTGATGAAAACTTTTTTTCGAGAGACGAAATCTCGTCATAAATTCAACATCTGAATGAATATTTACATGGTCAACTCTACTCCTTTTTAATCCTTTCGCTTCTTATAGGAAATAATTCATTGATTTCTTCAAAAATTTGTTCTTCCTCTCCAATGTCGAAGAAATTATGCCTGATGATTTTATCTAATGTTAATTATTAATAGTTTTTTATTTAAGTTTATATCACTTTTCCTATTTTAACTGAAATAGTAAAACGCTCGAATTTTATACGTCAGTATAAATCCTATTTGAGGTTAGGTATCCGCAGTTATCCCTTAGATAGCAACTTATCCGACACCCAATCCACGGGTTACAGATATTTCAAAAGTTATCCCTTGGATAGTGGTATCTATAAGATAAATACAGTGGTAGAAACCAATTTTTAAGCTTTCCGATAGATAACGCTATCAGAGACTTTAACTATGAGTTTAATATATTTAACTATGACTTTAACACATTCTTTTATTTTCGATTTTAAATTTATTTTTCTACCCAACGATGATTTTAAACATTGTGTAAAAGTAACCCCAACGAAATTTGAGATGAACGAAAAAAATTAATTTTGAATAAATCCCTTTTTTTATGTTTTTACGTATCTTACTTATTATTAATCACCGATATGATAAATCGGGTGATTTCATTTAATGGAAAAATCATTTCTAAATCGATTAATAAGAATACATTTTTTTGATNTTGCTTATTACTACTCACCGATATAATAAATCGGGTGATTTCATTTAGTGGAAAAATCATTTCTAAATCCATTAATAAGAATAAATTTTTTTGATATTTCCCTTCGTTCTTAAGATATTTCCCAACAAAGGTATTAATTTTCACAAAAAGAGCCAAATTTAAGGATTCAAAAGGGGATATCTCAAAAACTACAATAAATACGATAAAAACTCATTCTTTATTTTCGATTTTAAATTTATTTTTCTACCCAACGATGATTTTAAACGTTGTGTAAAAGTAACCCCAACTAACTTAGAGGTGAACGAAAAAAACTAATTTTGAATTAATCGCTTTTTTTATGTTTTATGCATCTTACTTATTATTAATCACCGATATAATAAATCGGGTGATTTCATTTAGTGGAAAAATCATTTCTAAATCGATTAATAAGCATATTTTTTTTTGATATTTCCCTTCGTTCTTAAGATATTTCTCAACAAAGGTATTAATTTTCACAAAAAGAGAAAAATTTAAGGATTCAAAAGGGGATATCTCAAAAACTACGATAAATACGATTAAAACTCATTCTTTATTTTCGGTTTTAAATTTATTTTTCTACCCAACGATGATTTTAAACTTTGTATAAAGGTAACCCCAACGAACTTAGAGGTGAAAGAAAAAACTTAATTTTGAATAAATCGCTTTTTTTATATTTTTAGGCATCTTACTTATTATTAATCATCGATATAATAAATCGGGTGATTTCATTTAGTGGAAAAATCATTTCTAAATCGATTAATAAGAATACATTTTTTTGATATTTCCCTTCGTTCTTGAGATATTTCCCACAAAAATTATTCATTTTCACTAAAAGAGCCAAATTTAAGGATTTAAAAGAGGATATCCCAAAAACTACGATAAATACGATAAAAACTCATTCTTTATTTTCGATTTTAAATTTATTTTTCTACCCAACGATGATTTTAAACATTCTGAAAGAATAACCCGAACAATCTTAAATATGAAGGAAGAGGATTAGGTGTTATTACATAAATTTATTTTTAGCATGTGGTGGAACATTAGAGCACGAAAGCGGCCAATTTGCAACTCCAAACTACCCAAACCAATACCCCGACGACATCGAATGCGAATGGACCTTAAAAATGTCACCCAGCTTTTCTTATACCATCAACTTCGAAAATTTCGAATTGGTCCAATCGCAATTTTGCAACGAAGATTTCGTGGAAATCCGCGCAATCGATGACAACAACAAACTTTTGGGCGATTATTGCGGCAACAACATCCCCCCAACCATCACCGCAAACGGCTCAATTTGGATTTATTTTAAAAGCGCCAAATCAGACGTTGGCGATATCGGGCAAAAGAAGAAAGGATTTATGGCACGATTTTCTTTAAGTAATAAATAATGTAATTAATTAATTTAAATGATTGAAATGATTTAATTTTAGATCACGAAAATGAATTTAGCGGCGATCACGGATTTTTATACTCACCTCTTTACCCGGAATACTACGCGAAATCTTCATCGTTTTATTGGAGGATTCGAGTTGGATTTGGGCACAAAATTAGGTTAACAGCCAAAGAATTTTCGTTGGGGACTGACGAGGAGATGTGTTATTACGAGGCGCATATTGCGGTTTATGATGGGTACAACACCGATTCGGATGGGGAATATTATTGCGGGGGGAGAAAACCTAATTTTGAGTCATCCTCTAACGTGATTTATTTGGAGGCGACGTTCGATCCGCGCACCAAACAAAGCCGATTTATTTTGGAGTGGACTCAAATCAACGTCGTCTCGAAACCCAATTATATTAATCCTTTAATTTATTTAAGCTCAAATGAATCTTGTGGCAATTCAGAGACTGTGGTGGTAAATGGGAGTGATCCTTTTTTGCTTACATCTCCGGGGTATCCTTGGGGGTACAAAAAGAATTTGAATTGTTCTTGGACGTTTTCGACGAAATCCCAAAATCATTTGGGGCTAAGATTCAATGATTTGCGAATTGTTAACGCGCAAAGTTGCATTTTTGATAAAGTGCAAATTTACGCTGGGAGTGATGATGAAGAATCTGCTTGGAAATTAATAAAAACGGCTTGTTTACCGAATGAGACTCACCACGAGATTTTAACTTCGAATTTAATGAGGGTTGTGTTCCGCTCAAACTCATTCAGCAACTCAAGCGGGTTCCAAGCGATCATATCGGAGCGTTGTGGGGGGAGTATCAAATCGAGTAACGGGGTCATAAAGATTTCCGAAAAATCCTCCGTCCCAGACGATGAGTGCCAATGGAATATTACAGCTCGATCAGGAAAAACCATCGAAGTGTCGTTCAAAATTTTCGATTTGGGGGAATCCCCCGATTCCCCTTGCAATAATTACTTAATTTTAAGAAACGGGCAATACGCGGATTCTCCATTTTTAGGGGAAGGGAAATATTGCGGGAAGAACTCCCCCCCAACATTAAAATCAGCATCAAATCATTTATACATCAAGCTTCATTCAACATCAGTCGCTAAATCCCCAGGATTTGAATTAACGTTTAAAGAAGTTTCGTTTGATTGCGGCGGAAAATTAACCCTAACCGAAATTGAAAACTCAACGATAATTAATTCCCCGAATTACCCCAACATCCCTCAACCCCACATCGAATGTATCTGGATCGTTCGAGCTCCCCCCGGCGAATCGATCCGAATCGACTTCTTAGAACGGTTCGATTTAACCAACTCGGTTAATTGCGACGATGAATACGTCGAGTTAAGAGATGGCGCTGCGGTTACTTCGAAATTAATCGGAAGATTTTGCGATGAAACTCCCAGTTCTCAAGCGACAACCGATAATGTACTCTACATCAAATTTTTCACCCAAGTTGATGACCCAAGGAACGGGTTTAAAGTCAAAATCCAAATCAAAAGTTGTGGGGGGATAATTCGCGCAACATCCGGCACGATAACATCCCCTAATTACGGGTTGAAAGAGTTTTACCCCGAAAATTTGGATTGTTCTTGGGAAATAATTGGGCCGAGAGATCACTTTTTGAATATAACCTTCAAAGAAATCGATTTACCTCCACGAATTGGCGATTGTGCAGAATCCCGAATTAAAATTGTTGATCATTTTTTGAAAAATAACTCAAAAGAAATTGTTGATGCGTGCAAGATGAAACCCGAATTGAAAAACGTCCAAACTTTCGGAAATCACGTCACGGTTAAGTTCACTTCCGGTAAAGTTACGAGATTGAAACGATTCGCTGGGTTCTCGTTAAGTTTTGTGACGGACCAAGAAGTTTGTGGCGGGAAATTAACGTCTCCTTCCGGGTTCATAACATCCCCGGGATATCCAAGTATGAACCACAACCAAAGAATTTGTGAATGGAACATCGAGGTTCCCCGGGGAAGAAGGATTAAAGTGAAAGTAATCGACCTCGATTTAGATAAGAACTCCCACACTTACGAACAAGGAATCGTTTTCTTTAACGATCACGATTTTTACTCGGAAATTGAGTATTTGAGTGCTGGGGATAAAGCCGATTATATATATTCAACCGATAACGTGATGGCGATTTATTTTTGGTCGTCACACGTTTCTTCACATCGAGGATTTAAATTGCAATATAGTTCCGATGAACCAACGTTGTGCGTTGGGGATTTTGGTAAAGAATACGGGACTATTTACACCCCGAAAAATGTGACGTTATTTAGGTGCTCGTGGAGTCGCGATGATGATGTCCATCTTCAAAGGACGGTTACTTTGAAAATAACGAGTAATATGGCTGACAGGAAACCAGTTCGAAATTGTGGAACGGTTGGGACAAATTTGGATGTAAAAACTAAAGGTAAGAAATATCTTTAATAATAAAATTGTTTGATTGAAATTTCAATAATGTTATTAACAATTTTTATATCACATCATAAACTAGAATCCTTAAACTTCGTGTCTTTGTCGTATTGGTTTTATATTTGTTCTAGTGTATAAGTCTTCGTTGCTTATCTTGTGCAGAGAATTTTGAAGATGCATCTCTTGAATATCCTTGGTCTTATTTGTCGAGTTGATTTTCAGAACCTGTCCATAGTCTAATACCGGTCATTATAGATCTTCAATGCAGTGTTGGTGTGGATCCCTTCATTTTTGTAGGTCAGTGTTCAGAAGCATTTGGTTCTTCTAATTGCTTCATCTCATTTAGTTTTGTAGTGTTGGGATAATTTTAAGTCATTATTATTAAACTCGTTTCTGACGTGCTCACAGGCTAAATAGAAATAACCCACCTTACTCTATTGGCTGTAAAGATTTTACCAGCTATGCTGCGAACCCGATCTGATGGACGAGTTATATCCATTACTTCAGCGTCGACATCCGCATGGAACAGACTTTTCAGGTAGGGAAGTGTGTGTTCAATAAGAGCTCCAACGATTCCTTAATTATCCTCAGTATATTTGCCGTCTTGTTTATTAGATCTTATGGAGGCGAGCAACTGTAGGCGTATTATTTATGTCGTCGCAGAAACTGCGTCAGATTTTTCTTTGGCTTTCCGAATAGCCAAGTTGTACTCCGTTGGGCTGTCCTATAGAGATCCCAGGTATGTTCGAGTTTGGAATGCATGACTTTATTATTTAGTCTTCTATCCATGATGCGTTGTTGTTCAAGGCCCTTATTCCACCAAGGCAAATTGTATTATACACTTTTGTGTTTTATGGGACAGCTTGATTCATATGCATTATTGTATATGATATTGTTTAATTGAATAAAGGCTATTTCGAGATCTTCTCTACTTTCAATATTTATGTTGATTTCGTCAAAAGAAGAAATTATGAATTCTGTTTGTTTTGTGGTGAGGCCGCCTTTGAACGGTCTCGACTTTTGGTAATACCGCTGCCACCAGAAACAGTATTTCGCGCTTCCTAATTCTTAGTCTGAAGGACCCCTAATTGATCCTAGCGAATCAATCAAAACTAAATGACAAGCGCGCGGTCACTATTTCAGAACCGTGGGTTCTTGCACTAAGGCTCTGTCAGGAAAAGGGGAAAATCAAAAGACAAGTGTTCTAACCACACTTAAACTATATTAACAAAATAACAAGTAAAAATAGACAATGAACAAAAAATGAACCTTATAATCTACCTACGATTATCTATGACCCGACGTTACTTAAAAAAGAGATATTTCCGAATCCAACCTCGACAGCTAATACTCGTTGACAGATAGGTGATAACGAAAACTGGCAAACAGACTTACTCAGGACTTGTATTCCGATTTGGTGGTACGCCGATGGATCGCAACCCTGGATCCTTTTTGGTCGCTTCTCGGAAGTTAACCGGGAAGGTTCCAACACCACTCTTGCACCAAATCCTCAGTGGAAACACAATTACCGACACGGATGCCCGAAGTACAAAGAATGTTCGCAAATGAAACTAAGTCACAGTTCTCGATATACGACGACACTTAGAATTGGCGTTAAAGCGAATTCTAAGTTTCTATCTAACGGAGCGCTGACGACGTTTCGACTCAAAAACCTCTTGTGATTGTTGTTATTATTTTGATTCGTAATTTCTCCCCTGAAAAAGGTCTTACAAGCCCTTAAGTAACCTCGGGTATTGGAGGGGTGCAAAAACCTTCTTGAGGCGTTCCTATCGCCTGGATGTTCCCGACACCTGGGCCAATCCAAAATACGGGGCGGATGTTTTACAATAATTTTCTGAGCCATTGAGGAAATTTAGGGAAGGGAACAATTTTTGACCACGGGGCCAGAAGATAACATCCGCCACTAGCTAATCCCAAAAATCATCACGTAAATCCCAAACTGTGGGAGCCATCAAACCTTTACGTTTTCTAACGTCTATTGTATTTTTTAACGACTTTTTCGTTATCTACGTTTTCCCATAAATTTGCTTGTACATTAATCTTTCTCAAAATTTATTTCGACGTCTGGTCACCATCCCGGACGTCGGTCGTAAACGCGAGACTGGTTTTTAGAAGAAAAAGGCTGCACGCCAGGAATATACAATTCGTATGGTTTATTCCCAAAACCATTGAATAATTTCCGAATTATTACAGTTTTGTCATCTTTGCTACAATGACAAAGCGAATATGGATGTAGTTCTTTACACTTTTGGTCATTTTTCAATAGTTTGACAGTCTTCTTCTATAAATAATAATAATAATAATAATTGCCACATAGCTTATACAGGAGAAAAATAATATATATGTATACATAAATGAATTAATTAATAGTGTATGTTGACAAAAGGTCAGTTTATCGCCAAGAGCGATGTCAAAGAGAAAAGAAAACAAAAGGAAAAGAGAAGAGCAGCAGGTGACATCAAGAGTTAGATTCAGATAATTGCAATGTTAATAGATAATCCCTTAAGCAGACCTTAAATGTTAGAAAACTCCGAGTGTTGCGTATTTCCGTGGGTAAACTATTATTTATAGCCTGCACCGTGAAAGATCCATGATATCTCTCGGTGCGATGAATGGGAAATATGAGTACGGTGTCAGACTGTGCTCTAGTAGGCAGACCACGAGACGACATGAATTGAAAGTTCGTGTACAAGTATACTGGGGACCGAGAAGATATTTCATATAATGTAGTCAGTATACGGAAGGATCTGCGCTTTTCGACAGTCAACATACGAAGGTGATTTCGATATTGCGTCACATGGTCGTACTTACCCAGGTCAAAAATAAAGCGTAGGCAATTGTTCTGCAGTCTTTCCAATTTGTTACGGAGGGAAATTGCTAGGTCGGGATACACCGCATCAGCATAATCTATGTGGGGCAGTATTAATGAGTAACAAAGATTACGACGGACAGCAAGGGGAAGGAAACAACCAAGTTTACGCAAGGAATGAAAACAAAAATAGACCTTCCTACAGACAGACTGAATTTGAAACCGCCAAAACAGCGCTGAGTCCATTGTCACCCCCAAGTTTTTGACCGTATTGGTGAAATGTATAACATTGTCACCAAGTATCAGTTGGGTATCATTGAAAGAGTAAAATTTTGCAAGTAAAAGTTTTGAATCGAATGCTATAGCTTGTGTCTTGGCAATATTCAAACTCAGGCCAAAACATTTACACTAGTGAAGTATCCTGGACAGATCGTCATTAAGCCGCGCCATGGACACCGGGAGCTCATTCACAGTTGTTGATGTATAGATTTGAAGATCATCCGCATATAAGTGATAATTGCATGAAATGAATTTGGTAACACTGTTTATATACATTGAAAAGAGTAATGGACCCAATACACTTCCTTGAGGCACACCACTATGACTTTGAAACACAGAAGAAGAAGATGAAGTGTCACGCACACAAAAGGAACGTTGAGAAAGGTATCCAAGTAACCCACTCAGGGGCAAAGCCCATTGCAGACAGAGACGACACCAGCAGGCTATGATCCACAGCATCAAATGACTTGCTGAAGTCCAGCAAAACTAACAAGGTTATTCGTCGATGAGTGTCGATGTGGTACTGTGGCCTGGTCGGAAACCAGATTGATAGTCTGTAATTAGTTTATGCTCATTAAGGTAATCCTGCACTTGATTGTACACCAAGCGTTCAAGTGCCTTAGATAATACGGAAAGTATCGATATTGGCCGAAAATCACTTAGGCGAGTAGGTTCACTTAATCATAGAAATGGGAACAACGCAGGCCTGTTTCCAAATTGCAGGAAAGGTCGAAGACTCTATGGAGAAATTACCACAACGAATTCTGGCCAACAGCCTTTTCCCTTCCTCGCTCACCTCCTTCACTAAGTATTTTCGAAGCTCCTCCGTCATTTTGTCCCCATATCCTTCATTGTCCCTTCCTTATCTGCGTCCTTCTCTCCTTTCTCTGAACGTCCCTATTCCTGTCGCTCCCCCCTCCCTTATTCTGTAATTTTTCTCTGCCTCCGAATAACCCGTCCTTTTGTAATATTCCTCGCTCTCTCCCTTACCATATCTAATTTTCCCCTCCCTAACTTCCTTCCAACACTCTCCCAAAATCTCGCAGTATGGTTTTCTGTCTATCATTTCTTCATATTTAACAGCCTCGATTCATCCACCTTCACTTCCTCCCTCAAAATTTATCCCAGTGTCTCACCAGACCTAGAACCCACCTCCATTGCTGATTCTGTACATCCTCCAGAATATCCTGCTTCTTCCATCCCCAACTCCGGGGCGTACATCATTGTACTCTTCACCAACCCATCAAACATAATCTTTCTCTTTCTAATGTCCCTTCCAAACGCTCTCTCACCCCATTACCTTATTATCCCTTTTTGCCATCCCCCTCACATTCGCCGTCTCCTTGCTATCTTCCCTGAATCTATATCCCAGGTATATGAATTCTCTATCTCCTCAATCTCCCTCCCATCCCATCACATGTCCATTCCTCCCCCATTCTTCTCCCCACTTTGCAGAATTTCATCATCTTTGTCTTTGCTACCGTTCACCTCTAACCCCTTCGCCCTGAAACACCTCTCCAAGTGTCCCACAATCCCTCTCATTTTCGCGACTTTAACAACCCGACAGCAACCCGCCACTCAGTGCTGATTCAGAACCCAGAGTAGTCTTTCTTTTTGTGTGCGTTGTATAGCTTGCAGGTTATTATTAATTTAGTGCTTAGGATATAAGGATTTGATGCGCATTCTAGGCTTCTGCAAACTCTTGTACCTTGGATTTATATGTTCGAATTTAGTTTAGTGATACTGTAGTCTATAATCGATTTGTGTTACCTTGTTTTTTGATGCCATGTGTATTTATGTACTATTTCCTTATGTTTAAAGAAACCATTATGGATTCTCTGTTCATTCGTTGTACAAGGTGGTCAAATAAGCGTGCAAAATACTGTATCTCGGACAGTGCTCATTGTAGAGACTTGCTGTAAAAAAATTAATAACTAAAGTGGCTACGAGAAAATCCTGAAAATTATGTTGCTCTGCCCCATCCTGTTATAGAGTTTTTTAGATTTTCATTTATTAATATGAAGATCCTCTTATTGGCTCTTTCATTCTTAGACCTACAACGGCTATCTGGACTTTCTTTCTGTGTAGCGCGTCAACGATTTCTTTTGTTTTTGTTCTTATCTTACTCGGGATAGATTGCTTTTCAAGCCGCCTCAACCCCCCTTCTTTATCCGGGCTTGGGACCGGCATCTCTTCACTCTGTGCTATTCGATCCACACATTGATCCACGATGGCAAGGCTAATTAACATTCTCTAACAATTTTTTTATCACATCATAAACTAAAATCTTTAAAGCAGATATGATTTTTGAAAATTTTATATATATATATTTTTTTTAGTTAACGGCGAAACGATGTTAGTAGCAGAATATTGCAACTTCTTAAAGAAACCCGAAACTCTCCGAATCCCATACCCTTACATATTAATGATAAACATGCAAAGAGCGGGTTACCTCGAATCAATCAATTACACCGTTGAATATTCAACCCAAAATTGCGGCGGGATCATCACCAAACCGATCGGGACGATACAATCCCCCGACTTCCCCAACACCCCATCAACAACGTACGATTGCGTTTGGGTCATCGATTTGCTAGAAAACCAAGCCGTTAAGCTCAACTTCACCTCCATGGATTTAGGACAAGATTGCGAAAAAAGCTTCGTTAAAATCCATAATGGACCGCTAAAAACCAGCCCGTTAATCGGGACTTTTTGCGGAAACTCTTTACCCTCCACTTACATCTCGCAATCAAAAGGGATATGGATCGAGTATCATTTCGATGTTGCTTCAAACGGGAAAGGATTCCAAGTTAATTATGAGCCGGTTATCGGGGGTTGTGGAGGAGTATTTTACGACACAAACCGATTTTTGCAAACACCTAATTATCCGGAGGAATACCCGAATAATATTGAGTGCGTTTGGGAGCTCCACACCGGTGATGGGTACCACGTTGGGTTAATTTTCGATAAACGATTCCATTTAGAGACTAGTAATAATTGCGAAAATGATTACGTCAAAATTTATGACTACAAAAATGAGGGTTGGGAGTTAATTAACGTGTTATGCGGGAAAGACCCCCCGAGTTTCGTTAATTCCACCTCGACGAAAATGAAGGTTGTTTTTCGGAGTAACTCAAAGATTTCTCAAGCTGGATTTAGGGCGTCTTGGAGCGCGAATTGCGGCGGGGATTTCGTCGCGGATAAAAACGCAAAGACGATTTCAAGCCCGGGGTACCCCAACAATTACAAATCAAACATGTTTTGCGTTTACAACATATCGGCGAATCGGGCTAACTTAAGAGTGGAGTTTCTCGATTTCAACTTAGAACACGGCGATGATAATTGCATCTTTGATAACGTTACGTTGTCTTATAAGATGTATCGAAATTTTATTAACAACACTTATTGCTCGACAACCCCCCCTCCTTTTATCATAGTCGAAAATAATGTAATTGTAACATTTAGAACGGACAGTTTCATGAATCGGAGAGGATTCTTGTTGAGTTATAAAACGGATGAATGCGGGGGTGAAATAACGCAACCCACCACAATTCAAGACGACTATAAATTTAAACGGGACCAAACCTATCGAAGCACGAGGTTTTACGGATTGGAAAAACCCTGCGTTTGGAATATAACAGCTCCAGAAAAATCGCAATCCGTTGTCGTTAGATTGGAATTGCTAAATTTAAGATACACCTTTAATTGTAACGCGGATTATTTGATGTTTTTCGACGGACTCTCTCGGAATTCCAGCAATCGTTTGGCGAAATTCTGCGGGAATTATTCCTCAATCATCCACCCAGAAAACACACCTATAATTAGCTCGACTTCGAATCAAATGACGATCGTTTATCGATACCCTTCGAGGAGTTCAATCGGGTTTAAAGCTTTAATTTATTTTTCTTATGGCCCATCAGCTGGGTGTGGTGGAAAAACTTACTTAAACGACACCAAAACAGCAACAATTCGAGGTCCCATCTCATTAAACGAGCTAGATTGCCACTATCAAATCGAAACCATGGATGGTTATTATCTCAGCTTAAAATTCATCGAACTCGATTCTTGCAAACTCAACACAAACGGGAGTCTACTCAAAAATTGTTCGTGTAGCTTTTTCGAAATTCGCGATGGTGGGGGGCCATTATCGGAAATAATTGATTCGTTTTGCGACCAAGATATTCTTCCGACTTACAAAACGACCGGGGCGAAAGTTTGGATCCGTTGGACGACGAACTTATTCAATATGGGGCGAGGATTTAAATTGGAAGTTACACCGATTTTGTGTAAGATCCCTTCATAATTTTCGCAATATATTTTTTATCGTTTTTAATTCTAGCTGTTTGTGGGCCTTCCCTATTGGTGGCAGATAAAATACCCGAAGTGTTGGTGTCACCAAATTTCCCCCAAACGTATCCGGGCGCGACAAAATGTTCCTGGAAGATCGCTTTGCCCCAAAATACTACTTGCTGTATGCACTTGAAGTTCATTGAGTTTGATTTGGGGGATGTCCCAGATGATAGCACAACTTGTCCGGGAGATAAAGTTGAAATAAGTGACAAACACGTAAGTATTTGTAGCGAGAAGAAATTTTTAAAATGTATTGCGCAGTTAATGCATTTCTTAATATGTGCCACAATTTTAAAAAATTGCTTCTGGTAAAGTATTAGAAATAAGAGAATGAGACTTTTTGAGGTTATAAAAGAAGATTTGCTCTTCATTTTATCACTTTATCTTTCAAAAAGATTCTTAAACGCAACATTTTTGACATGATTAACTTTAAAAATGTTTATCATTATAATTCTTAAACAAGTTTAGAATTACGACTAAACAGCACGCGGCAAAAAAATCGTGTAAACTCACTTTGAGTAAAGTCCAAAATTCAAGAAAATGTCTAAAATAAAACTAGAACAATTTCAAATTGCAATAAAAAGTCTAAAATTCGTGCAAACCATTTCTACATCGTACACTTTCTGCAAAAAAAACTAGATACTGTTAACAAAGGACTAGATACTGCTGGTAGAAGAGTAAATATTCTTTCCAGAACATTACATACTGCTGATAGAAGACTAGACTGCTGGTAGAAGATCACATACTGCTGGTGTTACGGAGGATGGATTGCGCCGAAGAAGAAACAATTCTCTCGGCCCGTCCTGCCGCTGGCTGTTGACCATCTTGGGGGCCCTCAAGAAACCATTCCCCAGGTCGCGGTAACTCGTATCCCAGCAGCAGGGCGCCAGGGGTTTCTCTTGTCGCCGCGTTGCGCCGTGACCGAACATTGAATAGAGCCCGATTAATGTGCCGATCCCAGGTCGTTGGATTTATGCCCTGGAGTTGGATCCGTATGCATTTCTTTATTTCTTGAATCCTCCTCTCCGTAGGATTGGCCTGGGGGTGGTATATCAGTGGTGGCACCCCCAATGTCTCAGCGCGGAGTCCCAGTTGGCGCTGGTAAACTGAGGCCCGTTGTTGGATAAAATGGCCCTTGGATAACCATACCGGGGAAACACCTCACTCTCCAGGATGTTCACGATTTTCGGAGCGCTGCTGGTAAGGGCCGGAAACGCCTCCACCCATCGACTGAACAGGTCGGTGACAACGAACACAAACCTGTTGTTATCTCGTGTTTTCATGTAAACCAAAACTTCCCATGGTTGTGTGGGCGCTCGTGGTCGTAATGGAGCCCGTTCCTGTAGGGGTCCCCGCTTGAGCGATGAGCAGGCCCAGCAATCCCGGACGTGTCTGGCCACGTCTTCCTCTACGCCAAGCCATCAGTATTTCCTCAGGATCACCCTCGTGGTTTCCTCAGCTCCGGGATGGCCTGCGGTGGACGCGTCATGGTAGACGTGCAACACCTGGTCGTGCATGTCCTGTGGCACGATCAGTCGGTTACCATCGGGATGTCGTCTCCACAAAAGCCCATCATGCACTAAATACTGGGCGGCGACTCTAGCTTCCGCCGGGTTTGCGGGACCCGCCTAGTAGATTCCGTCCAGGGTACGAATCAGGTTTTGGCTGTGGGGATTTTGTCGTTGGCTGTCTTTTAAGTCCTCTGCTAGCCCAGGGAATTCGACACATGCGATGTGGGGTCGGACGTTTTTTTGTTCTTGTTCGGGGGATGGTGGAAGAAACATCCGGTCGATGTCCGCTGTGTGACCCGCAGGGGTCGTTGCCTCATGCCCGGGTTGGCGCGAGAGAAAGTCCGGGAGTTCGTTCTGTTCTCCCGGGACGTGTTGTATGTCAAATTATATTCCTGAAGAAGGAGCGCCCACCGGGTTAACTTGGCGTTCCGGTCCTTCATGGTGTCAAGCCATAACAATGCTCTACTGTCGGTGCGCAGGGTGAATCTTCTGTCCTCCAGGTACGGTCGGAAAAATCGCATCGCCCAGACGACTGCCAAGCATTCCTGTTCGTTAGCGTGGTAGCGCTGCTCGGTGTCCCAAGAAGGATCGCAGCTGCTTCTTGTTGGATGGTCTCGATGTGTCGCAGAAGGAGTTGACGTGGTTCGGTAAGGGCTCCACTCCTCCTGGTGTAATCCGGTGACCCAGGTAGTCGATGGTTGTCGCCCCCAAGTGGCATTTTTCCGGTGATAACCGGAGGTTGTGTAACCAGAATCGTTCAAACACCAGGTATAAGTGTTTAAGGTGTTCTTCGCAGGAGTTGCTGTAGACGATGACATCATCCAGGTACACCAGGGCGAATTTCCGAAAGTATCCGGGGAGCACTTCTTGCGTCATTAACTTCTGGAACGTCGCCGGGACATTCTTCAATCCAAAAGGCATGACGCGAAACTGGTAGGTGGCACCGTCGGGAGTTGTGAAGGCGGTCAAGGGTCGGGACCCCTTCTCCATTAGGATTTGCCAATATCCGGACCGCAGGTCGAGGCTCGAAAAAACGGTGGCCTGGCTGAGGTCCCGCAGCGTCTCGTGGATGATAGGCAGCGCTGAGGACTCGTTGTTGGTTTAATCGACGCAAAACCTCTTGGCCCCATCTTTCTTCTCCACCAGTACGATCGGAGATGAGTACGGGGAACGACTGGCTTCAATGACACCTTCCGCCAACATGTTCTCTAGTTCACGGGCGATAAATTCCTTTTTGGTAGAGGAGCAGCGGTATGGCGGTAGTCGAAACGGCCTTGCTCCTTCGGTGAGCTCCAGTTTGTGCTGAGTTGCCCCTGTGGTACTCTTATGGGAGTCGGTAAACACGTCGGGGAAAGCACGAAGCGTCGTTCGAAAGGCCTCTTTGTGTTTGTCCGGAAATTGGTGACGGATAGTATTGACGTCCAGGACGGGCAGTGGCGCAGTGGGGCTGGTCCATCGGAAGTACATCGTGGTCCTCTTCTCTTTCCCGAAGTGAAAACAGCCTCGTTGGAAATCGAGAATCACCCCTTGGTCGCGGAACCAGGGATCCCCAAAAACAAACGGGGTGCTGAGTCGGGGAACCACCAAAAACTGCTGGGTGCACTGGAGTCCACCGATGGTGAACTGGATTTCGGCCTTCCCGACGATAGGCAGCTGGGCATTCGGGTCCGCTTGGGTGGCGTAGGTGTCTCCCAGCGGTTTATAAGACGCGACGGCTCTTGAGCTGACAAAGTTGCTTGCCGAGCCGGAGTCCAGGAGAGCTAGGCTGCGCCTTCCTGCTACCTCGATTGTTACGGTCGAGCGGCTGGAGCAACCGGGTTCCTCCAATGTGGAGATTACTGCGGCCGTCCGGGTTGTCCTGGGCGAACGGCCGCCGTCTCGTTTCCCGAACCGGTGCTGCGTTGTAGGGGACAGTCACGGTTCCAATGGTACCCGGGGCAGTACCAGCATCGGGGCACCTTCTTCTTCGGGTCCTCGGTGTCCCCTTCAGGAGTCTTCTTACCCTTTGGAGATGGTGTTGTGGGTTGTTTGAGGAGGCCCGACTTCTTCAGAAGCGCCTCCGTGCGAATTTCTTTGTGTCGCAACTCGTGTATGTTGGCCGGCGTGGGGGGCAGGTGCAGCTGTAGCTGAGGTAGCAGCAGGGCAACCATCATTCCAATGTCGTCGTCCGGTTTTCGGTGCAGACGCCGGGCTTGCAGGTGTTTGCGTTACAAAAACGCCTGCACCGATTCATCAGCCTGCTGTTGGCAGCTGAAATATTGGCCGTTGACTTGTGCCAATATTTGCGGACTGTTGAACCTTTCCAACAGCGCCTGGTGAAATTCCGCGAAGGACATCTCCAACTCATCGAATGCACTCCACCACAAAGTGGCATCTTCTCGAAGAAAACTGGTCGCTTTCTTTGATTGTTCCGCTGGTGGAGTGCCGGTGTCAGTGAAATATGTCTTTATTACCTTGACAAATTCTGCAGGATCCTCTAAGGAATCGCCGGTGAAGCACGGGCGCTCGGCTTTTGGGATGCAGACATGTTCGGCCAATAACTTTGACAGGGCGCAAACCTGTGTCTGAACGGTCGCACTGTCTTGTTTTGGTTCTTCGGCGGTCTTCTCCATCTTCTGCGTTTGGTATTCTTTTCCTTTCTTCTCTACTTTAATCGGTTGGGCCCCTCTTCTTCTGAAGAGCTTGCCAAATCTTCCTTCGTCGGATATGGCCGTGTCGACAATGAACGGCTTCTCGTTGTTGGTCCTTTTGGCATTATCGGGCCATACGTTGGGCGCCAATTGTTACGGAGGATGGATTGCGCCGAAGAAGAAACAACAGTCATTGAATTAAAAAAAAATAATTTATTTACAAAAAATGTACAAAAACCCTCAACGGTTTGTAAGACGAAAAGGGATCGTCGTCGAAACTGGCGGTTGAAGTGCTGGCTGCTGTTATCGTTGTCGCTGTTGTCGTCACTTCGAGGTTCGGTTGGAATTGACCGCTGATGGAAACCCGGCCGCCTTATATAGGCGCCCTTGGGTAAAACCCTATCAAACGGGCGTTGTGGTTGGTTGGCGACCGTCCGATCCGTAGGTAGAATTGACGACCAATGGCCAAGCAGATCGAACGGCGCTCAATTCATACTTGGTGACACTGGTAGAAGACTAAACATTGCTGCTAGAAGACTAAATAAAAATAAAATATGGCGGACGTGCAAGTTCCTCCTGTTAATAGTGCACTAATTAAGTATTCCCACTGCGCTGCCAAGGTGGTAAACTTTGTTTCGTGCGTTAAATGTGATGGGTAATTCATCCAGCCTGCCTCAAACGGCATGAAACGGTCTGCCTTGGATCCAACCTACATATCGAAGATACCGATCAAGATGTTGAGGGTAAGACTAACATACTTACCCTAAATGTAGCATAGGATATAAAATTTCTACGACAAGAAAATATAATACATCAAAACTTCTAGAAGAAATGACGTCAAAGAACAGCATCCTTTTGGAATACACTGAACTACTGAAAAATAATCTTAAGATATTCCATACTGAAAATGTAAACAAATCAGAAAAAATAAAGGTTACAGATTCCTGTACTCCAAACAAGCACAAATGTTGATCCAAAGATAGTTCCATCTACTACGCAACAGATGGCGCCAAATACTATTGAAAAATAAAGTCCCTAGATTTACAAAGTACTGCGGTTCATGAAGCCTGTTTTC